TATAGATATAGATATATATCAGTGCGGTTACCAGGCAACCACTATTTTTTTTTCTCTCATCACAATGAGGTTACCGTCCTAATTTTACCCTCATGGGAGCCAGCCATTAAGTAAAGTCAGTTAATATTAGTGTTGATGAGCACTCTCAAAAAAGACTAATCAGCAAACTGTGGAGTAATCCACAGTGTAACAGCACCACAGGCATACCAGGGTCATTTTAGGTAAGAATATTTGCATATGTTCATATGTTTGCATCTGTGCGTCATTACTTTGTAAAATAAATCAAAAAACTTTTTAAATTTGAATCAATTTGCAGGGTAATTAATAATATTATGGCACAATGTATATGCTTTTATATTTTGGTTTCTAATACTCCAAACTGGCAGGCGGCACATACGTCTGTTTAAAAATGAAAAGACTAAGAAGGCTATTAAAAATGGTGTTTAAATGCTAATAATTTCAAAATAAAATACTCAATATACACTTTTTATTGATAAAATAACCTAAATGTATAAATACTAACAGTTTAAAAGCTGTTGAGATAATTAAAACTATGTTGTCCAGCAGTTTGTATGTTCACAAATGCCAGGGTGGCACAACCATAAACATTTGATTTTGAAGTAATAGTAGTGAAAGTGATATTTTATTATAGAGAGGACCCCTTGGACTCTATGTGGCTGTCTGAAAAGGCTTGTAGCTCTCTCTTAAACTGGATAAGAAACGTATCTCTTATGCAGGCTGGTGCACTTTCCAAGTCAGGTGGCACAACCAATGTAAAAATAAATGAATAAATCTTTATTTCTTTTAAAAATGGTGCTTTTGCTCCCAAATGCAAAAGTTAATATAGGTGTCCAAGCAACAGCCTATTTAAACTGAAAATGGTTCCAAAAGTCAGGCGGCAAAACCAGTAAGTCGAGTGCTGCAGCTGCAAGAAATGCCATGTAATTAAATGATTGATTTTATTTAAAGCTCTAAAATTAGATTTCTTATTAGTTATATTTAAAAGATGATACTTTATAGAATCAACTTGTGCAAGTCATGATCAGATCAAGTGATTTTAAACAGGAATGATGCACTTGGACACAGAAATATGCATTTCATGATCCAGAACCTCCAAAATTAAAGTCCCAAATTTTTGTAAGAGGGGAAAAAAACAGCTGCAGTGTGTTATGGGTGTTCAATGAAAATCAAACTAAAGGAAATTATCATCATAAATGAACTGGAACTGCTCAGAGGAGGCGATGGCTGTTGTGTTTGTGTGGCACATCCTGTCTACCACATCATGCCTGAGGCGTGATGTCCTTGGCTCCATGACAAAAAAAACACGCAAATGTTTCTGAGATGTCTGAGATTTTTTTTCTTGTAAATACTTTTGGTTTTCTTGGGTTTTGTTTTTTTTTCTTTGTTGTTATTGTTGTTGTTTTTTACTGGGTTGGTCATACAATTAAGTGAAAGTCACACCTCTAATTTACTCGGTAATGGCAATAAAGCCAGTGTCTATATAAAGCTTACTAAAAAAATAGTCACTGCAAAAATTTCAGGCACAACTTCACCTACTTCCAAGGTGCAATAATCACCTTGGAAGTAGTCACTACAAGCTACTGGCCAAACCAGACCAGCTGAGTCTGTAGCAATTTATTGTGTTGCTGCTTTCTATTGATTAAATAAAGCTTTGTTTGTAAGCGAAGGTCTGAATGCTGCTCCCCTGATGTGCGTCTGTGCATGTGTACTTGAATTATCTGTATGCAGGCGAGCTGGGAGACTGCGACCCCTTGGAGCACTCTCCCGAACTGGTGTCGGAGTTTCGTTTCACTCCCAGACAGAGCGCGACGATGGAGGCAGACATCTTCAACCAGTGGCTGACTCTTAGGTGAGGAGCTTGCTGTGTTTCTAGTCATCTTAAATTTGGGATCTTCTAAAACTAAAACCCAGGACACATAAACATTTTTTTTTGCACCAGTTACCACAATACGTCTGCTGTGTCAAAGCAGCTTACTGGAGGGCGTCCAGTTGACCTGAGCTGGTTTCTCTCCTCGTCGGATGGAACAAGTGGGGCAAAAAGTTGAGCACTGAGCAGCAAAGGAAGTCATTCTGCTGCAGCCTTTCAGCACCAATGTTTTCACTGACCGGGTGTCTCATTTCACCGTCCCTCTGTGCTCTCCTCCTCGGCCGGGCTATCGCTGGTCTGCGTGAAGGATTATGGGATTAATTCCCGGAGGGTCTTGATTGATTCCGGGCAGTATTTAACCCAGCAGTGCACTGATTGCTCCCATCTCGGATTAGATTACATACGCGTACGCCGCGCTTCACTGGGCCGACTTAGCCACGCAAGGACAGACCGAGTTCACTGAGTCATGCCTACACACAAAGACTGAATCAGGATGCAGACAGACAGTTACTCACTGAGCGTCTCCCTCAGAACTAACACCAATCTCCAGCAGAGGTCACGCGGCAAGCGTCGATTTTGACGTTTTTTTTTTCTTCTTTTTTCGACTGAGCTGCCAAATATAGTGGCCGGGGCTTCAGGTTATGGAGCGAGCGGTATTTTTGTTGTGAAAACTCACCGTGTTGTCTGCTTTTATTTCCTCAGGGGAAAAAGCCCTTCTCAAGCAGAGATTTCTTTTCTCAACAAATGCAAGTGGCTGGAACTTTACGGAGTAGATATGCACTTTGTCAAGGTGCGTGAGAGAGTTTTATTATCACCAGTGTTGTTTTTTGTGTGACACTGATGTTCAGGTGTGTTAGAAATAAATGTGTGCTCGTTCGTCCGCAGGGCAAAGATGGAGGAGAATATGCACTGGGTCTCACTCCAACTGGCATCTTGGTTTATGAGGGCGTCAGCAAAATCGGGCTTTTCTTTTGGTAAGAGCACAACTCTCATCTTGTGTGTCCTGAAACGTGCTCATTTACATTTCTTATGTAAATGATTTTAACACAAAAATGTAAGAAAACACAAGCAGTGAATGTGAATGTAGGAACACCGTACATTTCCAAAATTCCTAACCTTACTGATACAATAATGAAAAAACAAAACTGTCGTCATAAGTAATAATTCTTGTGTCACTTGTGTCATTGCAAATTTAGATTAGGAGAATTTGGTAGTTTAAACTCACCTGAGTGAAATAAGATGGTTTGAGGTGTCACCCTAGGCTCTGGAAATCCATGAAGGACCATTTGTTTGTTTTTTCACATTGTCAGAGAGCAAATACCTAACAACTAAAAACAATCCAGTAATTGCTCACAGTGCTGTGCCCAAGTCTTGAGTCACTCCTCATTTCTCTGTGTTTGGATAGAAAAATGGGAAATATGTGCTGCTGTTTATTGAAACACTTGCAAACATCATCGGAAGTACAGTTTTCGAGGCAAAAACAGAGTCTGGACAATTCTGTTGCAGAATTATAGAAACGTCAGTGTTTGGTATGACCGATGGGGGGAGACGGGGGACAAAAGATGCCTAAAGATACCATTTAAAATTGGTCCTTCAGAATAAACCAGTGTTTTGACTCTGATGTTAAGACACAACACTGGTTCATTCCTTGAGTGAGGTGCCGCTGTTATGCTTGAATGACTCATAGGTCAGTGTTGAGTGGATTAGCAAATAACAGAAAAGCATTCCTCTGAAAATTGTCAGGAACAAGAACTGGACTGAAAATAAATGAAGAAGAGGCCAATGTCCAAAGAAAACCCCTGAAAGACCTTCAGAAAGACCTGGAGAACTATTACTCACCACTGCTTTGGAAGCAAAATGTGTATATATATTAAAAAAAAGAGCTGACTCAAGACTTTTGCACAGAACTGTATGAAAATAATGAAACTGGAAAAGGGAATCTCACAAACAGCTGATGTTTTAATATGTAGCGACATGTTGAATGAATGTAACTGAAAAATAAACAGAAACAAGAGTTTGTTCACGAAAATTAATTATTTATTTCTTCTGGCAGGTAAAAAAAAAAAAAGAAGCAGTACCTGTTTAAACTGTTACGTCTTCTGTCTGCTGCTATTCTTCTGCTAATTGGATTTGAGTTTCATTTTTTTTTTTTTGAACCACGTGTTTCTGGAGAGGCATGTGTCAACATTTACAACCTAGAGCCAATCAAAATGTGGCATAAGTGATAAAACATAAAGTGGGGCACAGGCTCAGCCTGGGTGGAGGGTGGGGACCGTGCAAACTTTGAAGGAAGGGCATGCCAGGAAAAAAGAGAGCTACTGAGAGCTGAGTATTTGTTCGGCAAGGGGCAGGACGAGGTATGGGAAGTGAAAAGAAATCCAAAATCACTCTGCGAGGAGCCGATGTTTCATACTGCGTGCTCTCGTCACCTGTCCCACTCAAACTGTTGTGTCTCTTTGTGTGTTTGTCATTCATCCGTGCGTCTCGGTGTGTTGCACAGGCCCAAAATCACTCGGCTGGACTTCAAAAGGAGTCGACTCACGTTGGTGGTGGTGGAGGACGACGATCAGGTTTGTGTCTTCACGTTGCATGCCGTGCCCGCGCGCGGTCACCTCTCAGGCGACTAACAGGTTATTATGGTTATTCTCTGTTGTGAAGGGTCGGGAGCAGGAGCACACCTTCGTGTTCGAGCTGGCCAGCGCCAGGAGCTGCAAACACCTGTGGAAGTGTGCCGTGGAAAGTCACGCTTTCTTTCGCCTGCGCCAGCCAACGGCGGGCAGGGCCGGCCACAGTGACTTCACGCGACTCGGGTCCCGCTTCAGATTCAGGTAGAGAGCAGCGACGGCGTCTCGCCTCATCTGAGCAGCGTCTAATTGACTTGCTGAAGGGGGATAATAGAAGCTGGCACTCGCAGGTAGTTGTGGCCAGCACTCGTTAGCAGCATATGTGGAATAATGTGTCACATAAAACAGAGCCTTTGTATCTATGGTTACAGGGTATCTATGGTTACACGGATCTGTTCCTATGGTGACTGAGATATTCCCTTTATATTGTTTGTTTTCTTGCAACTATTATCAGACATGGTCGAAGCAAATTCTCTCACTTGAAGGGCACTTCCTGTCATTTGTCGGAGCAGCTAAATCACAGCATTGTAAAAGCACTCTGTGGATTAAAAAAACACTTGTGTAACAGGTGGTGGAAGTAAAAGCAGGAACACTGGAACTGTGTGTATTGCAGTCTGACATAACAATCATACTGGTGCCAACTTCTCTAACGAAAACTCTGTCTTCATTCAGAGTTTTTGTTAGAGAAGTTTTAAGATAAGTATGTTAGAAAGCTTATGTCAGTTTAAAAGACTTTAGGCATACTGCAAAACCAACCCAAAGCTTTCTAAAGCCAAAGTCGTTCACGCTTTTCATTTATTAAATACAAAACTGAAGCAGAAAGTCCCACGAACAAGCAGTCAAGCGAGTCTCTGTAAACGCAGCGCTGTGCATAAAAACAACTCTAAATTCTAAACAATTGATGAAAACTTTTGGAAAATTCACACCAAAAGGAATAATCATCTAGAAACTCCATTTAAGTCTCCTCTGATGAACTCCATGAATTCGGTCAGACTGCAGCTCAGTGGCACTTTGACATTAGTGTCGATGCTTTTAGTAATAATCATTTCCACTCTTCACCCGCATCTGCTGTGTGTTTGTCTCAGTGGGAAAACAGAGTACCAGGCCACTCACGGAGGCAGACTGAGGAGGGCCAGCACATTCGAGAGAAGGCCGAGCAGACGCTACCCGTCCCGCACACAGTCGCTGGGCAAAAGTGAGTTTTATCTGCTCATACAAAAGACGACCGAGTATCAGCGCCTGATTTGTGTTTTATGTGGCTGCGAGCGTTGTTATGAAGGCTCTGCGCTGTTTTAGTTCAGCGTGTTTTTGGCTTTAAAATGTAAAAATTGCTGCAGAGAGTAACTGTTGAACATATTGTTTTATTTTTCAGAGGAAAGGAAAAGTGGACCCCCCCGCCCCTTTTTCTTTTTCTTTTTTTTTTCAAGGGCTGTTCTTTTAAAAAAAATGTCCAATGCTAAGTGATAATTTGACAAGTTCAATAGGCTTAAAAGCAGCCCTGGTTTCTTTTCTAAAGAAAGTGCTGAGAAACTCTAGGTTGTTAGATTTAAGCGTCACCTTTTTTACTTTGTCAAAGGCACCTGCTGTACTCTTCACTCCTCCATAATTCCCACCTTCTGTGAGCTGCAGAGGCTTCAAAGGTCCAGCAGCCTGCAGCTCACTTTAATCTATCCCACATAAATGATCAAATGCACACTGCAAACTGTATTTACCTTGAGACTGTCAGTATTGACGTCCAAACACCTTTTATGTATTGGATTTGGATTCGTCACGCAGCCCCGGAATACGAATGAACCGAGAGTTGAGTGTTGGTAATAGCTCAGCATTGGAGTAATAACATGTCTGCAGAGAGTCTGGAGTGAACGGCACAGTTAGACCAGAGAGGGCATTTGAAAAAGTGCACACAGACTCGCAGATAAACTGCAGAGCTGCTTTTGACTTCTGTATTTTTCTGCTCTAATTGACCTTGTGTCTCTCTCTCCGTCAGTTGCGATTTCTCCAGCCAAGCCTCCACACATCAGGTGAAACAGACACAGACATAAATAATGCACGCATGCACTTTCAGATTATTGCATTCATTCCTCCTCCTCTAACCTTGACCTTAATCCACCTAATGGCCTGGCTAATCTTAACACAGAAACAGCCCTTTGTAAAAGAGAAGTTGTTGCTTTTGAGAGGGTTTACTTGTGCAGTGCACTCGAAAGTAATATATATGCACCTGCTTTAAAAATAAGTTATGATACACATCTGATATCACTGCTTTTTCCTCCACAGCTCTCACGCCAGCCCCAATCCAAGTCTGCATCAGGTAAGCGACCTCAGTTAACCCACTTTTCAAAATGTAACACAAGCAGCAGAGAGCGGTGTGCTTTGTCCCAGTAGCGACGCTTAATTTGAGCATCTCTTCGATCCTCTCCAGTACCAACACAACATTCCCATTGGTCACGAGCCCTGGCATCCACCCCACCCCACGCTCACTTCCTCAGTTTACCTGCAGCCCTCCAGTCATACATCACCTCACAGGTAAGAGACAAAGGACAGGATTGTTAAAGAGCTTCAGGATGTGTCCACATGCTCTGTTTTTCATCACATTTCATGTCCCTCTTACACCTCATATGTCTGTTTGTCTTCCCGTGTGTCTCGTCTGCCTCCATCCGTGTGTGCGTCCCTTCATCAACCGTTCAGGCCTTCCTTTGAGGCTGAGAGTCCGGTGTCCATCGTTCCCCCCGTCCCGGAGCGAAAGAGCAGCATCGCCAAAGGATCCGTGGTTGTGGTTAACAGGGATAAGGTCATGACCGAACTTTGACCTCCCTCTTAACCCAGGAATCTATTTCAAAACTCACAGGCACAGACTGGCAACCCCCAAAGAGAGACGCTCCGGTGACGGAGCTGTCTCCGTTCATCCTCATGAAATGTCCCACGTCTTCATCCATTTGTCACGTCATCTCATGTGTTTCAGTGTCTGCATACTAGACAAAAAGCAAAAAAAACACACACCCCCATCAAGTGCAAAGGACTTTATCAAGCAGGATGGAGGTTTATAATGTTCAAGGGGGTCACGTGGAGGGAGAGCTGTGCAAAGACATCGGGGTAAGGGGACTGGGTGGGTGAATGTTGAAGTTATTTATTGTGGTTACGGAGCGGTGACACAGATCACGAAGGCGATCGAGGTAAAGAGCCTCAACACCTCTGATCGTTACAGTTTACTCATTCTGCGGGTCATAGCTCAGTTTATATCATCACATCCTTTTAGACACAGGTTGCCTTCATCTTAATAATAAAGCTGCAATCACAGGCTGAGAGTCCACTCAAAACACTCAGATTTTTTTCCGTATTATTTCCCTGTGATGTCATTGAGAGTGGATGTTCCTGCCTGCTGGTGAAACCTCCCGATTGGTGGGGGCCATTGCAGGTTGTGCACAAATGATTGGGGAAATAATACAGAGTGAAACGGATAAGTACGATTTTTGCAGGAAAAGTGTTTGCTCATGCTAATTTACTGATGTTTAAATAAATAAATTATTATTATTCTTTTTTAATTGATTGCTTGGAAAAATATAAGATTAGAGAGAGATGAGCTAAACAGCCTTATTCCAACAGGATAAACTGAGGAGCTGCACCAAGGTCCAGCATAAGATACATAAGGGTTATTTTCAACTCTAAGTGATGCAAAGCTACAGTAGTAAAATCAAAGAATAACATTATGAAGCTGGAAATGGGCATAATTGCTCCTCTGTAAAGATAAAACAAGAATGTGGTGCATTTTAAAGTCTCTTTGAGGATACTTTCAAATAATGTTCAAAGCATCTTCTAGAAAAATCAAGATTGTGCCTGAAAATTTAGTTTATTTTCATATGAAAATAATCACGTGCTTAGTTTTCTGTGCACTCACAGGGACGTTCAAACAGGAAGTTCTTGAAGGTAACTTTAGGTGCTGTACTAGGTGGCAATTTGCTAAAATATAAATAAACTAAAGGCCAAAAAACAAGCTAAGAATTGTTGAAATAAGATGATATATTTTAATTTTGTTGCACTTTAATATTGTTATTATTTAATTATGGCTCTAAATGCCCAGTCGACGTAGCTCTTATACTTCTCAAACACTCTGTTCTTTCCATTCAAACATTCAGCATCATATTTAAGGATACATACAAAGATAGGACCGGGTGTGACACGTTTGTGCCTTGCTTTGCTTGTGGATGTTTTATGTGATTACGGTTGCTCAAATCTCAAATCTGCCTTTAAGAGTGCTTTTGTGTTTGTTTCTTTGTTCGTTTGCAGTAAATCGTGTGGCATCTAAATTATTTAAACTCACTTTTGAAATAAAGTGTTGTGAGTGCTGAATAAAGTGATTCTGAACAGGTGGAAGGGGTCCAGTCCTGCACTTAGTGAATGCCGGGTTAGGGATTAAGCTGCTTTGTGTATAATTTATGGTTTTCAGTGTGAACTTAGAAACATGAAGCTGAATCTTGCATTTGTGGTGTTGTGCTTTCAGAGTGAATATGGTTTTTTTTTGTTTTTGTTTTTTGAATAAACATTATATTAATGTTACATCAGGTTATGGATTTGCTAAATTAACCAAGTGTTTACAGAAGATGTGGCCGGTGTGTTGCTGTTCTAGTGTGTCGCCTTTTACTTTCGATGTTTACTCCAATCACATTATGCCTTTAGGACTGTTGCCGTATTGCTTCTGAAATAAAGGGTTTATGAGTGAAATGCAGAAATTGCAAAGCCCATTCCTTCATTGTCTTACACCAGAGGTGTCAAACATAAGGCCCGGGATCAGAATTGGCCCGCAAACGAATTCAGTCTGGCCCACTGGATGGCTTTGGAAAATGTAATAAGAGCGTAAATTTTAGACTTTTAACTGTATTTTTTATAAGCTTTACAGCTTTTCCCACTGATAAATACCTCCACATGGTTCTTTGTACTTTACTAATGAAGTAACACAAATGATTCAATAACAGATTTAACAGAAATTACATGTAATTTTACACACATTTTAGGTCCAAAGCAGTGTTTCTTTACCATGTAGAAAAGCAAATGCACTGTTGAAATTGCACTTCTGGTTTTGTGTTACTCAGTCAGCTCAGCATCCACACAGGGAGGGTTACATTGCTGTGAAAATCTCACATCACGAGCTTGGATTTATTACACGATAATTACTTATTTGCGGTACTTACACTTTTTGTCATATTTAAGTGGGATTTTGTTTGGGGGGGGGGTGTGTTTGTGTTTTGATTGCATGTGTCATCTTCAGTTTCCCGCTGAGTGGGCTCGCTTCAGATCATCAGTTTAGCGTCGAGGAGAACGAGAACTCGTATTCTGGCAAGATCCACCACCGCCACCGTCGGCACACACACAGCCAGGACACGCTCTGCCACACACACACCAAGAACAGTGAGTACTGTCAGCCTGAGGCAGGGCTGCACAAATCTGTGGTGTGTCTAGACGCCACGCTGATGCTTCTTTTCATGCTCTGTGCCGCCTGTTTGTCAGCTCTTTTTGTTTTTGAGGTTCACTTTGAGGACTTTGAGATCTAATGTTTCCACTACAACGTGACGTAGTTTGATTTCAACTTTGTAAAAACAGATTTAAAGATGCACGTGATATGACTGATATACCTTTACCTTTATACTGACTGTGTTGTTTCAAAGCTGGATGATCCGAAATAAAGAATATGGTCCCACTGTTACTAAGTGCTTGCTCACAGGGGTTTTTTTCTCTGTATTAATTCACCATAATCTTCCCAGGAGTGGATGTTCCTGCAAAAATTTACCCCAAGGTCCAATGCTCAGACAAGTACAAAAAAATCCAAAGAGCTACATCTCAGACTCTACAGGCCTCAGTTAGCATGTTAAATATTTAAGTTCATGACAGCAAGTCTACAAGACTCCTGGAATAACGTCTTTTGGACACACGAGACCAAAGTGGAGATATTTGGTGAAAACACTTTGAACTTACTCCTCAGTGGTGAAGGAGGGATGATTCTGGTTGCTTTTAAATGTGTCTAATGCAGTTTTAAATTGGGTTTCTGCTTTTGAGAACATAATTCAGTTGCCTTTTGCTGTAGTGAGCTAGGATACAAGTAAAGTAAACGTGGTTAAACACTGCTAATTTTTCTTGTGTTTGCACTCTTCATTTAAGTGCAGTTGTTTAAGGGCATTGTTTGTAAGTTGAGAAGCATCTGCAAACACATTAATATGGATTTAAAGTATCTCACGGTTCTCAAACTTGCTTTGACCTGCCAACTTTCAAACACCAAAAAGCCCCCACCCAGCCAAAATTGCTGTTAATCATTTATAATATCATCAAATTCTGGTGAAATTAAAGACAGTCAAACTCTTGTGCCAGCGTAAATTGAATTATAAACCTTTTTAGATTATAGTCATTTTCCATCCCTGCTTTGTCAAACCGTCTGTGGTGTCTTTACAGTAAAAACGTGACTTGTTTGTTTTTTTCTCATTACAATTTGTCTCAATCAGAACGTCAAGCGCCCCCCTTCCCTGCAGATGAGTTTGACATCTCTCAGTCGCTGCTCAAGGCTTTGGAGTCTGAAAGCGATTCTCCTCCCTGGCCTTCGCTGCACATCAACATCGACAACAAGGTCAGTCACGTTTCCCACACGATGTTTACTCACTGAGATTTAGTCTCCTCACCTCTCCTTGTTCTCCCGGCAGGGAGAGGAGAAGCAGCTGTCTGAAAAGTCTCTGCACCCTCCTGCTTCCCCAGCCATGCTCCCCGACCACCTCAAATGTAACATCCTCAAGGCCCAGATGGAGGCAGCCTTCAGAGTGAGTACCAAGTAACGCTCTCCTTTGGCTATTTGACCTACATCCTGTGCACTTGGCGGTGTCACTAACAGCATATCTATCCATTTCTTCTCCACAATAAAGAAAGAAGCCCCAACAACACCCAGAGGGAAGAGCTCAACTGAGACCCTGAATGAGAGGCCAGTAGCTCATCCGCTCTTTAACATGTTTAGACCTCTTTCTGAAAACACAACTTACCCTCCTGAGTAACTGCTCTCATTTCCAGGTATCAGAGCTCCTCCCAAGACTCGGCGGCATCCAGTCTGACAGCAGAAAAGACACCCCACAGGCAAGATCACAACCTGACGCCAGAGAGGCTCCAGCCCAAAGCCAACCCGAGCACCAACCGCAGAAAACGGCTGGTCCGGCAGTTCAGCTTGTGAGTACAGATCGCCTGCTGTGAGTAGAAAATGAACACTCCACAGAGTACTTGAAGCAGCAGCCGTGCTATCTCTGCTCTTTGATAGTGACATCTTGTTCAGAGCGATCTGTAGGTCGTGTAAGCCACTTATAGTCTCTCCATTTGTTGCTTATCAGTAACCACGAAGATGAAGATAATCTCCCTGAAGCACTCGCAGCCATCTCCTCCCAAAGTACAGCAAAGTCGGGCTCTAGCAGCTCATTGGACAGACAGATACAGCCGTCAATCTACCCACAGGTAACACACATCTTCACACATGCGCACACACACACTTTAAAAACCCTTTAAAACGGGTCTTGGTGTAGTACACTATGCTCCACTTATGGGGGGATTATTTCCACACCTCTCTGCATTATCTGTAATTGTGTGTGTCTGTCTGTCTGTCTGTGTGGTGTGTGTGTGTGTGTGTGTGTCTACACTGATGTGTATTGCAGGGGGATAATATGCCAGCACTGGAGCTGGGTAGTCCATGCTGTCCCTCTCCTTCGCCCTCCCCTCATCTCTCCCCTTCTTACTACCGTAGCTCCATTCCTCACCTGGTTCCTTACCTTGCTGCCCATAACGACAGGTAAACGCACCTCCTCGCTCTTATCTCTTGGACACTTTTATACAGCGCTGGTTTGCTCAAGTGCTGTATTGAAGCCTCAGGCTCTTGTTTGACGCTTGCACATGAAAAACAATCCCCTGTTTCTGTTAGTAGCTGATGCTAAACCGTGAGGCCAAAGTGAACAACCGTGTGACGCAGACAGGAGGATTTTCAGAGTGAGATTTGGGAAAACTGGCTAATATTGAAAATCTTATTTCCAGCATGTCAAAGCAGTAAACAAGAGCTGTCCGAGACTGCGTACCTTCACCAGTGCTGAAATGACCCTCCACACCATGCATGAATTGAGCCCCTGGATCCAAAAGGATGTCTGGATCCAGACTAGTTTTTGATATTATCTTGAAAATATCAAGACAATATCTCACTATTTTTCCTGCTACAGTATGGTTACAGTTATCCTCAGAAGTTTACATCCACTCATCACGAGAATGGATGTCGTGATAATTTGGGGCTTTTAATTTCTTTGAGCTGTTGTTTTTCCAAAGTGGAATGAGCATACGGCATACAGCACAAGTTTGAATTTATTATTTTCTCTAATCCACACACACTTACTTAAATCTTGTAATAAGCGGTGCCGACGGTTCTACAATGTCTTTCAACTTCACAAGGCCAAGACCTTTTAACTTGTCCTTATTGCTCGTGATTGACTGCAACTGGTAGTTTCATTGATTTATTGGATGGCAGTCATTAGACTAATACTCAGAACAACTCAGTAAGAATCTGAGGAGAAGAATGGTAGATTTAAAGAAGTTGTGAAGGTCTCTTGGAGCCATTTCTAAAAAACTGCAGATTTCAGGATCATTGGTTCAAACAGCTGTACACAAGAACAAGTTATTCGGATGTGTCTCCACTTTGCAAAGGTCTGGAATAAGTGGTGTTAGCGGTAGCTATTCCCCTGCCAGTGGTACCATCGCGAAGTGGATGGAATAATGAAGAAGGTGGACTACCTCCAAAACTTTTACCTCAAACCAACAGCTAGACAGTTTGAACACGGTTGTTTGTTCCAACAGGACAATGATCCCAAACACACATCAAAACTAGTTTGGAATGGATAAAGCAGGCCAACATTAAGCGTCTGGTACGGCCTTCCCAAAGTCCTGACCTCAACCCGATTGAATATTCGCGGACTAGATCTGTTCCAGGAAATGAACTCTATGGATTCTGCCAAGAAGAGTGATTAAATATCGAGCCGGAATTATGCCAGGAGCTTGTTGAGGCTGCCAAAAATGTCCGGTCGAGATGCAACTTGCTAAATGGAAATTTAACCAAATATTAGTGGGTACATTTGAGCCTCTATGTATACTGTGGACTCTGTGTAGATTAAGAAAATCCAAAAGCAAATTTAAACTTGTGCATCCAATTCCCCAAATATGCTGTACAATCATTGCACCCTGGAAAACAAACAGTTCTAAGAAATCATTAAAAGCCCCGAATTACAGTGACATCACAAAAGACAAACACACACACAAAATCACCCACATATTTATTTATCAGGGTGTAAATTGCAACCTTAAACCAATAATAAGCAAATGACAGTGATTTATTTTTTTTAACAGCTGCAGCAGAAGCTGAGCGTAACGAACAATATCTGCATTTCAGTCAATGAAGTTTGAGATGGCCCCTTCAGTACAGCTTAAAAAATAAACACGTGCACCCTAGAACTGAAAACGAGCCTCCACTGGTTAAGTTAACTTTTGGGGCAGTTCACTTTCGTGCTACTTTAATCTTCTACATTTATTTGGCAGCCGGGCTGCTTTGACCACTTTATAAAACATAATGCAGTGTAATAAAATCACATCAGCGATTCCAAAACCAATAAGATGATTTGATTTGATGGAAATAGCTGCTCATTTCTTTAGGACGTGACAGAGAAGCTTGAAGGCTGAGCTACACATTCAGTAAAAACTCACTTAAGTCTAATTTTCTGACTTCATCTGTTTGCCCATATATACAAATTCCATAATAAACAGCAACATGGCGAGACAGCCAGCATCACACTCTTCTCCAAAGTCCACGTTACTCAGGGTATGTTACGCTCTAAGCAGTCCCACCATGGACTCAAGCAAGTAGGAACTATAATTGCCTTTCACGGGGTGCTACAATAATCAACTTAAAAGTTACACATAAAATTATAAAGTGCTAATTAAATAATCAATCACATAATAAACTCAATTACGCAACGACATTAAATAATGTTGCGCAACTTAATATGCACCGCAAATTAATATAACCTAGAAAAATTAAATTAGAAGTGCAGTAACTAATCACACTGGAGACAAAAAGTTGATAAACTATAATGAGAAGTCCCATCAGAAGCAGTCGCAGCCTCTGGCTTCACTGAAAGTCACATGACTTGTTGTGGCGACGTTAGCCTTTTATGAACGTGCTGATTAGACATTTAGCTCATTAGTCATTCCCTGCAGCCTTTAGATGACATGGAGTTCATGTTATCTAACACGATTTACACCCACTGGCCACTTTGTTGGGTACACCTTTTCTTCTGCACATTAACAAAATATCTAATCAGCCAATCACGTAGCAGCATTTGGACATGTTAAAGATGACCTCTTGAAGTTCAAACCGAGCCCCCAAATGGAGAAGACGTGACTTAGAAGGTGGCATGGTTGTTGGTAACAGGCTGGTCTGAGTGTTCCAGTAACTGCAGATCTTCTGGGAGTTTCCCACACAGTCATCTCTATGATTTAAAGAGTCAAAAAGAGGAAATTCTCTGGGTGAAAACGTCCTGCTGATAGAAGTCAAAGGAGAATGGCCAGACTGCTTTTAGCTGTGGGAAGGAAACAGTTACTCAAATAACCACATGTTCCAACCAAGAAAAGCATCTCTGAAAACGCAACACCTCGAACTTTGAAGCAGCTGGGCTACAGCGGCAGAAGACCACACCAGGTTCCACTCAGCTAAGAACAGGAAAGTGAGGCTCCTGTTCACACAGGCTCACCAGAATTGGAAAATAGAAGATTGAAAAAATGTTGCTGGTCTATTTCTGACAACAGCATGAAAACATCCACATCATTGGTATCTGTGCATCATTTAAACACCACAGCCTGAAGATTGTTGCTACTGTGTCTGTCCGCTTCCAGCACGATAGCGCACCACAGCTCAAATCATCTCAAACCGGTTTCTTAAACATGACGATGAGTTTGCTGCACTTGAATGACCTCCACAATCACTAGATCTCAGTTCAGTAGAGCAGCTTTTTAATGTGATGGAACGGGATAATCACGTCATGGATGCAAAGCTGGCAAATCTGCAGAAATAGTGCAATGCTATCATGTCATGTGGGCCTAAAAATCTCTGAGGAATGTTTCCAGCATCTTGTTGTTCTGTGCCATGAAGAATTAAAGCAGCTCTGAAGGTAAAAACTGGTGCTAGCAAGGTGTACCTAACAAAGCATCAGATGAGTGTAAGATCTGTGTATGACCAGCTTAAATTGCCAGACAACTTCTTATCCTGTAGCTGCTGTTCTTTGTCTTTGTAACGCAGACTTTGTGTTGTTTCTGTCATAGTTACTGTTGTAAAATGTTTTTTTTTTAATTTTCTGTTATGAAAATTATATTTCACCTTGTTGCAGAAACAAAAGTTCAAGTTTAGAGCTGTTAAATCGTATGTTCGTGTCTGCAGCGGAGAAGAAATTAGGGTGGACAGAGAGAAGATCCTGAGAGCGCTCCTGATGACAGAGCTCTGAGACCTCGACCCTTCAGACGGAAGCTAAGAAGTCCCAAAGTCACTGGTGTCAGTCAGCATTTGTATACTTGCATTGCACATTTAGCAGTTATAAATCTATATTTGCATAAAGGCGGTTGTTATATTTGCTTAACTGTTATTTTAGAAAGAAGGCTCTTTGTAATAACTGAACTGAACCTGTACAAAAAAGTGAAATGGAAACAAGTGGATTCACTCACATGCATTACAGACGAGCTACAGACTGTATTCCTGGTGCTGCCTGCATGATTAATGTTTCCCTAAACGATTATCGGATTTTGCTTTGGACTTCTGTTTATGTGTGAGTTCATCCTCATTGTCTTCATCGCCGTGTCCGTGCTGATGCCTAAACTGTGTTTCAGACAGCGACTGTTGAAGCTTTGATCTCCATGTAAAAAGCACCCCTGAAATGAAAGTCACTCACTTTCAAATCAGTTTGTTCAAAATGTAAATACTCATTGATATCCTGAGAACAGAGCAGGCGTTGTAAATGCTTACCTCAGTACTGTAATTCCTATATCAGATATCCATTTTTTTACACGCAAAAAAACATCAGCAGCGTCTGTGGTTTTAAAGAAAATCCTGAACAGTGTGAGTTGAAAGTGAAAACTGAAGATATCGACACCTCAGTCTCCGTGTGCCCACCAGGAGGTGCCAAAGCTCCTGTGGCAGCAGCCTTGATCTTGTGTTACAGGTGTTCATGAAAAACCTCTCTTGCGTCCCTTTGCTGTGTTTTTAACATGCAGCTCAAAACCAAATCTGGCCTCAGAGGTCAGACCCTTGGAAATATTTAATTACTGCGCAAAAAACAAAAACTTCACTTCAGCCCTTCTTTGTCACAATCCGAGGCGGCACATGATCTGCACCTGTACTGTATGTTGCTGATTGAGTTGTCCTACCTTGGACTGGATCTCAATAAAGGCCACATCATCGGTTTGACAACTCTGCAGCAGCATCTTTGTTTCTTTTCTTCCTTCCTGACATGGGAATGTGGCTCGGCCTCGCCCTGCCTGCCGGTTTGTTAGGTATGTGCCTCTCACCCTCCCTGCGACGGAACAAAAGATGTGTGCTGTGCGGGACTTTAGAGAGGTATCTGCCAGTGCGGTGAGTCAGCCTGTTAATTGTACCTCTGTTTTGTGTTAGATAATTCATCTTCAAGGCGAGATGCAGCACAGCAGAAAGAGGGAGGGAGAGAAGAACTGCTTCGAAGTGAATCTGCTGTAAATGATTCAGTTTTTTAAAAATGGGGGAAGCCTGCGCAGACTTCGGCATTTGGCCCTCCCACTGGTTTTGAAACAACTGCAAAATCGTCCTTCATAATTTCTCAGCTCAACCTGCATTACAAGCTTAAATTCGTTGTGGAATTTGTTTTTCTCACAAAGCTGCACAGTAGCAGAGGAGGGGCGAGCAAACACCGCAGTTATGGTGACCACAACAAATGGGATCTTCTGCTTTTCTGGGAATTGATATTTGAGAAATTAACAGGCACAGGAACAGTTAAAGGAACAGAGGTGTTTCTACCATTTTTTTAAATGGGCTCAGTCTTTTAAGATTGATTAACATTTAAGCATTAATAAAACAATGATTAACGTTTTTTACATTCTAAAAACTGTGTGCCCTCTTGCACATCTATAGATGATAAAATACTCCTACTCCGATTACAGGGCTTGGTTCCCTCACAAACAAGAAGTTTTACACATGAACAGGACAAATCTAACCTTTTAACAGCTGAGCAGCTGAAGGAAGCCAATCACGTAAGCTAAAGTGACAGCCACGCCTTTAAAAACCAATATTAAGTGGAGTTTGAATGGTCTCCTGTTAACCACAGGGACAATGTGGTTAAGAAACAAACACCTGAACCTATATAAAACACGTAGACGCTTTTGTTCTGTCATTAAACCCTTTGTTGGACTGCATCGGGGAATGAAAGAAGATGCCTTAGTAAAGACACTAGGCAGCTTGTTACAGTTAACTGTCATTACATACAAAAAGCTGTTCACTCTTTAATTCACTTCAGTTTGTTTCTGTGTTATTTTTAATCTTCATTAACTATGTTGTACATGTATGTGTGTCAGAGGCAAGATTCTGGAAAGTCAGTGCAGGTTTTACAATAAAAACAGAACTTTCTAAAAGCAGCTGACTCACAGTGTCGTGGACATCCACAATAGATATTTGTCTATCAAAGCCTCATAAGGCAAGTTTTGATTCAAATGTTTACCAAACTAACAAACACTAAAATAAGGATATTTCCTCTAAATTAGTTTTCGAAGGTCACAAAATCCTTTCAGTTTTAATTTTTCAAAATTCCTAAACTAAAATGTTTTATATGTTTTGTAGTTAACTATAATAACCTTGCTGCAGGTCACATTGCAAAGACAGAAAATGACATACATGATGTTACATAAAGACAGGCAAAAATAGAAAGCCGACTCCTTCACTTAATGTACTTAATGTACTTAAAAGAGTGGGTAGACAGTCGAATACGTTGCCCTCCATGACTCTATATACTAAACCTCCACAGACCTTCTTTACTTCCCTCGTTAGTGATATCTTAATAGACCTGGAGCACTGCAGGTAGACTGTCCTTCATATTGCACCATGCAAAGTGACTGCATGCTCATTTTCTGATACCAAGCTTCTGAAACTCTCTGGGCTGGCCTATATACATTTTTTGCTGAACTTCCAGCCATTCGTTGTGAATGTATGAGCCTTACATGAAAGTCTATGGCTTCTCAAATGAGTTAAAGAACATGCTGCCTCAGGAGCTTAACTGTATCAACTGCAACCAGACAATGTGCATTGTAGTGGATTTAGAATCCATATTTTGCCACTGCATTTCTGTGTGCACCAACTGCATGTTTTACTCCAGGCTGTAACTCTGCAGACCACTGCAAATCTCCTCTGTCAGTCATGCTGCGTCTAAACTATCAGCGTTTTGAAAATGTAAAAAAACTCTCCATCATAATAATAATAAGTTCTTTTTTTCTTTGTGTCATTGCTTCATCAACCTGACTTTTCAACTTCACTGAAAGAAGATGTCCAGTTGTGTCTCTGCTATTTGAAAAAAGATAGCGATAGCATCCAGATCACATGGACAGTGTTGTGCCAATAAGTGATTTCAGGTATTTGCTGAAAAAATGATTGCCTGTGTTTAAACTGGCCTATAATCTATAAAACATATGTCAAACATACCTCATAAATGATATTAAGTGTTACCTTCTAGACCTGCCCCTGCACAGGTAGTTTATACCTATTATACACTTTTAAATAAACACTTTTATTAACACTAGCTCCGTGAAAATGGCTCCAAAAACATTTCATACTGAGTGACATGGGTTTCTTTGGGTTTTGGGGACTTCATCCACATAAGTAAATGTTGCAAGGACAGGATATAAGTGTGGAACATGAAAAAGATTAAAGATCATCTCCTGCTAAATGTTAAATAACTAAAATAATCCTCTTGTTATTAAAAAAAAAAACAACTTCCCTTTTCCTGATAGTTGTCTGTCCCTGACAAACCCTGGATTATTTTCTTAATAAAAGATTTGATTTAATCTACTCTGATTCTTTAAATCTAAGATGTGCTCAATAAATTAAAAATTCCCTAAATGAGCTGCACTTATCTGCACTTTTTTCATACCAGTGTAACTTCACTGGATTTCTCCACAACATCTTACAGACAATACATTTATTTTCCAGACGTCAAAAAGGTGAGAAAAACTTTGTCACATGGATAAAAATAAATAAATTCTTCCTGCTGGTTTGGACAGTGTGTGTGTGTGTGTGTGTTTTGTGAGTGGGAGACTAAGTGTTTTTAAAAGAGATTATTTGGGTGGGGTGCAGAAGAGTGTATTACACAATGTAACTCTGCCCTGAGGGGGTCTGACATGGTTTTGTCTGCTTTCCTTCTCTCTTCCCACTTCCTGATCTATTTTCTGCTCTTTTCCACGCAGTAAAAAGAGAGGCCATCCTCTCACATAATGTGTTCAGTGTGTCTAGATGACAATAGCTTCTTTGCTATAGCATGTGTATGCGGGCACCGCAGAGGTAATCGCTGAGGACAGTGAGAGGGAGTTCCCACAGTTTCGCCCTGAGCCACGTTGTGTCACAAGACAAGCTCCACCTGCATATTTGCACTCCTGCACTTTAAAAACCCTCATGAGACACAAACAGGCATACTACACGGCAAAGTGAAATGATCAGAAGGTAAACAGTGAAATCAAACAGCTGGAGGATGACAAACTTGACATGTTAAGTTTATTGTTTGTTTGTTTTTTCTTTTTCAGCATGCCTGTAGTAGGGCGTCCTGAGGAGGATTAAATCCTGCTGTGGCACATGCGTACAGAAACATGAAGCCCAAACATCAACTTTATGCTGAGCATAAACGGCATTTAAATTCACATGAAACATATCCGACACGTCCTTCATTTCCTTTCCTTTTCGCCTTTCCTAAAAATCTACAGGTTCAAAAGAAGTACGGTGATTATATTTCTTAGAGCAACCTGTTTGTTCAATAACGTTCTCCAATAACAGCGTAGACGGTGGAAAGAAGACAAGGAAAGTGTGATGGACTGCTAAAAATATGTCACAGAAGTGGTCATAAACCGGCTCTGGCTTTACTCTTTGCACAGTAAGCTGAGAGCTTGTGATCTGAGCCCTCTTGAAGAATGCAAATTTGTAGTTAAATTACTGAGAAGTGGGGCCGTCTTCTTTTCAGCTGAATCCAAATACACAACAAGGCAACTTTGGCGTGGCGCAGCATGGAAACATACCCTTGTCAGACACATAAAGGAGGGGGCTAATGAAGTGTGAGATGTCACAGTTTTTGTAAATTGAGGCCTCATAACAAGGTCCAGGCTATCAGACAAACTCACAGTGTAACATATAGGATATCATTCAAACATACTGCTATTATTTTCATTAGTAGTCTTATTGATTAGCAGTGCATTGATATTTGGCATTATGTAAACATCTTAAAGTTCCACTACTAACTTCTTCATGCACTAAAGCTTCCAATACAATCACTGTGTACTGTATCAAATGTATATAAACACATACAATGTACTGCATTAACAGATTATGTAATAAAACATCTCAACACAGCCATGCGTAATACTCATTCTCATCTCTTTCACACTCACACACTTTCACTCTTCACAGAAAAGCTTAAACGTTTAGCTCAATTGCTACTAAGTCACTCCTCTCTAGTTTGGCTAACAAATATGTACCGTAATGATTACAATAGAACAGGTTAAAAAATCTCTATAAAGCTTTTAAAATACACAATGTGCAATATAAGATGAGAATGCTATTGTTGGCTAAGGCCACAGAGAATTTGGTATAAAATACATTAATTTCTGTTGCTAAAGATATAAATAACACATCTAAAAGGCTATTTTAAAAAAAAAAAATCTAACAAGTCTTTGACATACACCAAATTATCACATGTGACCCTAGAGCAGGGTCAAATCCAAATACTGCCCCCCTGGCTTGGTCATGAGAGCAGGTAGTGACATAAGAGGAGCCTCACTTGAGCTGCACTGACCAATCAGACTGCTGCTCAGGAGGGAAACAGACTCTGCAGGATTCTGCGGAGAGAAGAAGAACAAGGGTGAGGAAAGAGTTTTAGCCCCCAACAACAACAAAAAAAAGAGCACCTGCACCAGACATTACCCATCACCTTCTCAATCACCTAAAGCTGTTATTACCCATCTATTACACTACCACATTGCGACAGCACCATCTGACCGTTGACTAAGCCCCGCCCCCTTAGGTATTGTTGCAATTGTTCTGTAAAGTAATTTTACTCTTCAGCAGGCCAGTTTCACAGCAGACATTTTGGCGTGAAGCAGCAGGTAATCACAAATGTCTGAGAAAGGACGTTAATAAATATATCTATAAGATTACAGTTAACCTGGTTCTGCCAGGAGATTCTTCCTGCAAAAAGGGAGTTTCTCCTTCTCACTGTTGCCAAGCGCTTGCCCTTAGGTGTGTTGTTGCAGTTCCCTTCTGTTATTGTAGGGTCTTTACCGTTTCAATTTTATTCGTTTCTGTGTTCTTTTTAGTGTTTCTAATTATCATTTGTCAGGTGGAAAATTCTAGAAGCTCAGAACAAGCGTTACAATAAAAACACATGACTCACAGCCAAGTGGATATGGCAGTCTCACTAAACATCTGTGTCATTACCTCCTCAGGATTAATGCATTCAAAAAGAAATTGAGCATAAAGTACAAAATGCTATTTTAGTTAGTTTTAGGGGGAGTTTTGAGAGGGGGGGAGGTAAGTTGTTTTTTTTTTTAAATTTAGGTTAACTATATACATTTTCATACCTAGTTTTATGTACCTATAATATCCTTGTATTGATGTATGAAACATTAAAAAATTTATCTTTAATACTGCAATGTAACAGTAAAAATGAGGACTTAGTACTGGTTATCTGGGTAAGAGAACAATTCAAACTTTAAAGCAGCTACTTTCACTTTCACAATATTTTTATGTTGTTCTGTGATGAAAATGTCACCACTGAGGAGTTTCTTGCGCCCGCTATTTGACTTTCACGCTGTCTCGACATGCAGAAAAAGGACCATGCCTGTACAGTCAAAGGGGAGAGGGTTCAGTGGACGGTCAGTCGGCTATGTGGTGCTCAGTGTTTTCATTAAAGGCTTCACGAGCGGACAGAAAAAAGGTTAAACAGATGCCATGTGAAAACCCATGAAATACCTAAAAACCAAGAGATTTCCTCCAATTATTTAACCTAGTCAAAAGGAAATACCTGAAAATTCCCCATTAATGTGGAAAATGGTGCCCTGTAAGCCCTGGTGACCAGTAAAACCACAGCTACAACACCTTCTCTAAATTAAATCCCCCTGACTGATCCCTCAGCCAATCCTTACCTGCCACCTGCCTCAGACACCTTAAATACACACCCATTCTTTGGGCTGCGTAAGCAATGTCCTGGTCGGGTCATGAGTGTGCACGGGCCCGTGGGCGTGCATGAAAGCATCCTCGGGAGCATACTGTGGCATGAGGAAGGGGGAGGAATGATAGAGATGGGGGCTGAGACACATGTAGCCATAGACACTAATCTAAAGGCCTTTAAAATACAGAAAACAAAACCCAGTCTGTCTCAATATATTGCTTAAAGTAGTCCTTATCATGTCATAATTTATATTCAGATTCTTCGCACTCTTTCAGGTTTAAATAAGATCTGAGATTCTCCAGTTCAAGTTGAAGCAAGCAGCAATCCGTGTGTGACAGAACAGGGAGAGGAGACAGGATAAACTAGTTTGATAGCCTCTGGGCAAACACAGTGGATGCCTGACAATACACACCCATAATACGAGGAGATTTGAATACAACACTTTGGATCCTACAGTGAGGTATGAGAGCTCTGAAGGCACAGAAAATCTCCATTATAGGAACTTCATTAATAAAATGCTAAGTGCACGGTGCATTTGAAGGACGCCACCTCTTACCTGGTAACCCTGCACTGCATTTATGAGCTCTTTGACTCCGTTGCTGTTGTAGGTCAGACCGGGCATACGCACCAGGCCTCCCGGCGAGGCAATGGAGGAGGGGGAGGGGAAGAAACCTAAGGTGTTAGGTGAGCCAGGTGGACTGGAAAAGAAAAAAAAAGGAAAACAACAAGAAGGGAAAAAGGACAGAGACTGTTATCCTAAGTACAAAACCAGCATAAACATGTATCTTCTCAGAAAACACAACGTATGCAGCAGGATTCAGGAAAAACAAGACTGGGAGTAACTCTGGGTGTTGTCTTTGAGTGAGCTGCTCTCTCAGTCTCTGATGGCTCACCAAAGAGAACCAGAGGTCAATGCTTGTTTACCAAGTACTTTGATAACGCAGACTTCAGTCATTAACTACCCTTGCCCCAGCCTTTCTCCTTGGCAGTATATAATTCAACCAAGTACAAAATGCTCGACCTCTTTTCTTTTTTTTTTAAATGGGAAAAAACCTTTATACTTATTGCAAGTTTTAGATGTTTTTAATCACTCACTAATGTACACAACATGTTTCAGTGAATGTAAAACTATTTTGATTTTGATTGATGCTATGCAGGCGGTTCAAAGAAGAAGATGACTAAGAATGAAGAAGATCAAGCGTGGATAGCAGTTCCACATTTCTTATGCACATCCTGAACTTTTGCAGGGCTTTATGAGAGAAATATAAATATATGAATCACTCAAGCCCAACACTCAGTCTTTAACCTGTCGGCCTTGCAGTACAAAGTGTGCATATCTTTATGAATAAAGCAAGTAAATAAGTGTCCAGCAGCTCTACACAGGCAGCTCCCTAAACCAAATGGACTATTTCCATTCACAGGGGTATGCCAGGACCGGGGAATCCACCTCTTATGTGCTACATGTGAGAAATGGAAGCTCTGCCTGGATCTGAGAGTTTGTCTGAGAGCAACTTCACCCACCAGTAAACAACCCACAAGTAAACACCACCCGGCAGCCTCGGCTTAGCGTCGGTTGGCTCGTAAATGTCTTTATAGAAATTCAGGAGTGGTTGATTTAATGTGAGAAAGGAAGATTACTTAATGCGAGAAACAACAGTAAGCTCTCACAAAGCATCAAGGATATTTCAGGTAAATGTGTACATACAGTGGGGCAAAAAAGTATTTAGTCAGCCACCGATTGTGCAAGTTCCCCCACCTAAAATGATGACAGAGGTCAGTAATTTGCACCAGAGGTACACTTCAACTGTGAGAGACAGAATGTGAAAAAAAAATCCATGAATCCACATGGTAGGATTTGTAAAGAATTTATTCGTAAATTAGGGTGGAAAATAAGTATTTGGTCAATAACAAAAATACAACTCAATACTTTGTAACATAACCTTTGTTGGCAATAACAGAGGTCAAACGTTTACTATAGGTCTTTACCAGGTTTGCACACACAGTAGCTGGTATTTTGGCCCATTCCTCCATGCAGATCTTCTCGAGAGCAGTGATGTTTTGGGGCTGTCGCCGAGCAACACGGACTTTCAACTCCCGCCACAGATTTTCTATGGGGTTGAGGTCTGGAGACTGGCTAGGCCACTCCAGGACTTTCAAATGCTTCTTACGGAGCCACTCCTTTGTTGCCCGGGCGGTGTGT